AACCCGAGGAGGCTACGCCGAAGGGCGGAGTCTCCTTCGGGGAGGTAAACGGCCCTGAACCCGTTGATGCGGGTTCAAATGGAAATATTTTGGAGGCCGAGCCCACGGGCTCGGAATCCCTAATAAAAAACCGACCTTGTGTCACATGGTTCCCCAGTGGGGGAGACTCAATATCGTGAGTCAGCCGTTCATTTTTGAACAGACTGCTCGGTTTAACTCTGTCTCCGGACGGAGAAAACCCGAAGGAGGCTACGCCGATGGGCGGAGTCTCCTTCGGGAGGTAAAACTGGCCCTGAACCCGTTGATGCGGATCAAACGGGCATATTTTTGGGCCGAGCCCACGGGCTCAGGAATCCCCTGATAAAAAACCGACCTTGTGTCACATGGTTTCCCCAGTGGGGGGAGACTCAATATCGTGAGTCAGCCGTTCATTTTTTGAACAGACTGCTCCGGTTTAACTCTCTGTCTCCGAACGGAAGGGACGAAGGAGGCTACGCCGAAGGGCGGAGTCCCTTCGGGGAGAGTCGCTCGGCCCTGAACCCGTTGATGCAGGTTCAAATGGAATATATTTTTGGGCCGAGCCCAGGGCTCGGGGAATCCCACAATAAAAAACCGACCTTGTGTCACATGGTTCCCCAGTGGGGGAGACTCAATATCGTGAGTCAGCCGTTCATTTTTTGAACAGACTGATCGGTTCAACTCTCTGTCTCCGGACAGAGAGGAACCCGAAGGAGGCTACGCCGAAGGGCGGAGTCTCCTTCGGGAGGTTTGGCCCTGAACCCGTTGATGCGGGTTCAAACGGGCATATTTTTAAGCCGAGCCCACGGGCTCGGGAATCCCCAATAAAAAAAAACCGACCTTGTGTCACATGGTTCCCCAGTGGGGGGGAGACTCAATATCGTGAGTCAGCCGTTCATTTTTGAACAGACTGCTCGGTTTAACTCTCTTCCTACGGGCGGGAGGAACCCGAAGGAGGCTACGCCGATGGGCGGAGTCTCCTTCGGGAGGTAAACTCGGCCCTGAACCCGTTTATACGGGTTCAAATGGGCTATTTTGGCCGAGCCTAATGGCTCGGGAATTCCCCGTTAAAAAAGGCCTTGTGCCACATGACACCCTCGTGGGGGGGTGACTCAATATCGTGAGTCAGCCGTTCATTTTTGAACAGACTGCTCGGTTTAACTCTCTGTCTCCGGACGGGAGGAACCCGAAGGAGGCGCCGAAGGGCGAAGTCTCCTTCGGGAGGTAAAATCGGCCCCGAACCCGTTTATACGGGTTCAAACGGAACATATTTTTGGGCCGAGCCCACGGCTCAGGAATCCCCATAAAAACCGACCTTGTGTCACATGTTCCCCCAGTGGGGGAGACTCAATATCGTGAGTCAGCCGTTCATTTTTGAACAGACTGCTCGGTTTAACTCTCTGTCTCCGGACGGAAAGGAACCCGAAGGAGGCTACGCCGATGGGCGGAGTCTCCTTCAGGGAGGTAAACCGGCCCTGAACCCGTTGATGCGGGTTCAAACGGGCATATTTTTGGCCGAGCCCACGGGCTCGAGGAATCCCACAATAAAAACCGACCTTGTGTCACATGTTGCCCCAGTGGGGGACTCAATATCGTGAGTCAGCCGTTCATTTTTGAACAGACTGATCGGTTCAACTCTCTGTCTCCGGACAGAGAGGAACCCGAAGGAGGCTACGCCGAAGGGCGGAGTCTCCTTCGGGGAAAACTCAGCCCTGAACCCGTTGATGCGGGTTCAAACGGGCATATTTTTGGGCCGAGCCCACGGGCTCGGGAATCCCCAATAAAAACCGACCTTGTGTCACATGTTGCCCCCAGTGGGGGAGACTCAATATCGTGAGTCAGCCGTTCACTTTTGAACAGACTGCTCGGTTTAACTCTCTGTCTCCGGACGGAAGGAACCCGAAGGAGCTACGCCGATGGGCGGAGTCTCCTTCGGGGGGTAAAACCGGCCCTGAACCCGTTTATACGGGTTCAAATGGAAGCTATTTTTGGCCGAGCCTAATGGCTCCAGGAATTCCCACGTTAAAAGGCCTTGTGCCCACATGACACCCCTCGTGGGGGTGACTCAATATCGTGAGTCAGCCGTTCACTTTTTGAACAGACTGATCGGTTCAACTCTCTGTCTCCGGACGGAGAGGAACCCGAAGGAGGCTACGCCGAAGGGCGGAGTCTCCTTCGGGAGGTAAAATTGGCCCCGAACCCGTTTATACGGGTTCAAACGGGCATATTTTGGGACGAGCCCACGGGCTCGGGAATCCCACAATAAAAACCGACCTTGTGTCACATGTTGCCCCAGTGGGGGAGACTCAATATCGTGAGTCAGCCGTTCACTTTTGAACAGACTGCTCGGTTTAACTCTCTGTCTCCGGACGGAAGGAACCCGAAGGAGGCTACGCCGATGGGCGGAGTCTCCTTCGGGGAGGTAAATCAGCCCTGAACCCGTTTATACGGGTTCAAATGGGCTATTTTTGGCCGAGCCCTAATGGCTCGGAATACCCACGTTAAAAAGGCCTTGTGCCACATGACACCCTCGTGGGGGGTGACTGAATATTGTGAGTCAGCCGTTCATTTTTGAACAGACTGCTCGGTTTAACTCTCTGTCTCCGGACGGAGAGGAACCCGAAGGAGGCTACGCCGATGGGCGGAGTCTCCTTCCCGGGGAAAAAAACTCAGCCCTGAACCCGTTTATACGGGTTCAAATGGGCTATTTTTGGCCGAGCCTAATGGCTCCGGAATTCCCACGTTAAAAAAGGCCTTGTGCCACATGACACCCTCGTGGGGGGGTGACTCAATATCGTGAGTCAGCCGTTCATTTTTGAACAGACTGCTCGGTTTAACTCTCTTCCTACGGGCGGGGGAACTCGAAGGGAGGCTACGCCGATGGGCGGAGTCTCCTTCGGGGGGTAAAACCGGCCCTGAACCCGTTTATACGGGTTCAAATGGGCCCTTTTGGCCGAGCCTAATGGCTCCCGGGAATTCCCCACGTTAAAAAAGCCTTGTGCCACATGACACCCTCGTGGGGGTGGGGGGTGACTCAATATCGTGAGTCAGTCGTTCACTTTTGAACAGACTGATCGGTTTGAACTCTCTTCCTACGGGCGGGAGGAACCCGAAGGAGGCTACGCCGATGGGCGGAGTCTCCTTCGGGGAGGTAAAACCGGCCCTGAACCCGTTTATACGGGTTCAAATGGGCTATTTTTTGGCCGAGCCTAATGGCTCAGGAATGCCCACGTTAAAAAGGCCTTGTGCCACATGACACCCCTCGTGGGGGTGACTCAATATCGTGAGTCAGCCGTTCATTTTTGAACAGACTGCTCGGTTTAACTCTCTGTCTCCGGACGGAGGAACCCGAAGAGGCTACGCCGATGGGCGGAGTCTCCTTCGGGGAGATAAAATTCCCCTGAACCCGTTGATGCGGGTTCAAACGGGCATATTTTGGGCCAGCCCACGGGCTCGGAATCCCAATAAAAAACCGACCTTGTGTCACATGTTGCCCCCAGTGGGGGGACTCAATATCGTGAGTCAGTCGTTCACTTTTGAACAGACTGCTCGGTTTGAACTCTCTTCCTACGGGCGGGAGGAACCGAAGGAGGCTACGCCGAAGGGTGGAGTCTCCTTCGGGGAGGTAAAACCGGCCTGAACCCGTTTATACGGGTTCAAATAGGCTATTTTTTGGCCGAGCCTAATGGCTCAGGAATGCCCACGTTAAAAAGGCCTTGTGCCACATGACACCCTCGTGGGGGGGTGACTCAATATCGTGAGTCAGCCGTTCATTTTTGAACAGACTGCTCGGTTCAACTCTCTGTCTCCGGACGGAGAGGAACCCGAAGGAGGCTACGCCGAAGGGCGGAGTCTCTTTCGGGGAGGTAAAACCGGCCCTGAACCCGTTTATGCGGGTTCAAACGGGCATATTTTTGGGCCAAGCCCACGGACTCGGGAATACCCACAATAAACAACCGACATTGTGTCACATGTTGCCCCAGTGGTGGGGGGGGGAGACTCAATATCGTGAGTCAGCCGTTCACTTTTTAACAGACTGATCGGTTCAACTCTCTGTCTACGGACGGAGAGGAACCCGAAGAAGGCTACGCCGAAGGGCGGAGTCTCTTTCGGGGAGGTAAAACCGGCCCTGAACCCGTTTATACGGGTTCAAACGGACATATTTTTTGGCCGAGCCCACGGGCTCGGAAATCCCACGTTAAAAACTTCCTCGTGCCACATGACGCCCCAGTGAATGTCGGGAGTCAGTAGTTCAAGTCGAGTCAAGTGTCGAGTCAGAGACAGTCCAAAACAGAGTCGCGTTCAGACAATTACTGAAAGACATTGGAATAGTGATACTGGTCGAGACTACATTGTTCTCTCTACTAAACCTGATTGTTCGTACTAACACTTTCTACTTCTCTGTATATATTCCTGTTTGTAATATATCTGTGTTATTCCATACCTGTGTTCGAGTTCTTCTTTATTGGTTCTACCTTGGACTATCACCGTGGTACATGGAACCAGGACAATAACATGAACTCTAGGTCATTCTGGTCTTGGATGGACCAAGAACTTTTTTGCAATCAATTTCAGAGAGATAGATAATAAGTGGCTACTCTCTTTTTCCGAGCGCACCTGTTTGCTATGCTGTTTTTCCAATCCCTGTCGCAGACACCTGCTTGGATATATTTGTGTTTCTTCAACAACCAAAGAACTCACATGTGGTTTATAGTGCAACTATGCTGAGCAGAACTTAATTACTCTCTGTGAGGAAGAGCGTAATCTGTCAAGATCAGCAGTTTGAACAATGCCAGTACGTTCAAACCCTCAGTCACAATGACTTGTGATTTCGTGTTAGCAAAACTATCGAAGGCTTCCAATTTCATCAGAAGGTCAACCCGTGGTATTGTTTTCAGGTACTTTCCAAGAGTGCCGAACGCTGAGATTCCCTCCTCACACAGATAACATCAATATCAATATCACCTTCTTGACAAATAGACTTTCGTGAGATTCGAACATGAGGTCTCTTGAATGAGATAGATAGATAGATAGATAGATAGATAGATAGATAGATAGATAGATTACAGGATAAAATGTATAGATAGATAGATAGATAGATAGATAGATAGATAGATAGATAGATAGATAGATTACAGGGTAAAAGATAGTGGTTGTATTTCTCATAGCCTTTTTCATGGTTTAGTATTCAGGGGAGTCGTCTGAGACTGGATGTTATCCAAGGTTAGATAGATAGATAGATAGATAGATAGATAGAGAGAGAGAGAGAGAGAGAGAGAGATATGTTTTGTATCTGCATCGATCTTAAACATCTCTCATTTAAGTGATGAAAAATTATTTTAAAAGAATTATTTTATATATTTACTATGCTTAACTTAGCGTGGCATAAGGCCAAATAGAGAATTTTCTACGAACAATGGTCGGAAGAGGTTGGTTCAGTCGTGACAATGCGATCTTATTTCTTGTTCATTACCTCCTTCTAGTTCTCGAACTATTCACACCATCACACACAAAGTGAGCCTGCTTTCAAACAGAGAACGGAGTTATTGCGTTTTTCTAACAAAGTTCTTAAGCAGTACTACACACGATCGTCAGTCGATGTTTTTAAAATCAACTATGTCTCATATCTGGAAACACCACCAGATTTCAGTCCTATTGGAAAACGACCTTAGCTAACTATTGTCATACGTTTCAAAAACCCTGTTTAATTTTTGATTACTCTATCAATTCCCAAAGGCACAAGTTTGACTCTTGACTTGTCTTTCCTACAAAGAGACAAGTCGACCAACACCGCATTTTTCTGTTCTGTCCACAACACCTTTCATAGATCTCAGAAAATAAATATACTGACTAGAGTACTGTGTTGCCATTGGCACTGTGATGAAAACTAATGCACAAATAACGTCATCAATTCAATATGGTACCTTATTTGTAAACAGCGGCAAAATAAAGAAAGGAAGGAAGTCCTACTGACGTTCTACTGATGGAGACTATCACGTCAACAGTACTTAAATCAACTTCATCTCTATCCCGAGAAATTCTGCCATATTTCGGCAGTAGAGCGCTTCCCTCTCAGTCGGCTGCATCTTCCAATATCCATTCAAGCCGAGACAATGGCGAAAGGAAATAAAAGGAAAGCTACAAAGTGCTAAAGATCGGGCCACAGGTCGTTACGGTTCCGGAAATAGCAAGAAAAGAAGTTATTTGCAGGCGGACGACGCCTTCTTTTCGACAGGAAGCAAGCGTCTCTTCGCATTCGGCTGGATACTGCATAAAGATTGGTTTTTGATGAGGCGAAGCATGCACAGATTTTATTGTTTCACGAAAACGCCAGCGCCGCTTTCCCGCCATCCAAAAGCCACTCTCTAAACAGTGAAGTTAGAAATGGCCAACGTACGCTTCTTGCCAGTCGGAGAACAGCGACCGAACAAAGTGTTGCATAGAAAGCACATTTAATCGAAGTTGTTCTCTAATAAAGATATTTATTTTTTAACCAGCTCGTCCAACTTCGATTTCCCCCCTCAGCGAGACTTGAACATCGTTTAGTATATGTACTACTTGCTCTCTCATACTACTGCGACAATGGACTGCTCCTAAATATGACAAGTGGACCACATTAGAATGATATTTCAGGTATTGTCACAGTAGTAAGAAAGCTTAAATTTATGCAAACAGCCACACACACGCGCGTGCGCACAAACCGCTACTTTCTCGAACCGAACCACTAACCACTACTTTGTGGAACCACCTCCAAAAATCTTAATATATTCGAGTCTAGGGTTAACTGTTACGTTCCCCTCATATCCTACTTTGCTCTTGTACGGTGTGTAAATTTTTTTGTAAAAAGAATACATATTTACAGACACCTGCTCTATCAAGCTTATCTTGCAAAACAGTTGATCAATGTAGCGAGTGTGATTGTCACTGTATAGTCTTATGTCAAACTGTTAAATAATAGTTTCAGACTATTATTTTTAGTGGCAGTTTATTTTAGCGCAGGCATTCTGAGGCTGACCTTCACGGTCACATGGTAGACAAAATAGGCATGTCGATTTTGATTGGCTGAGCCGAATGAGTTATAGATTAAGATTTTACGAGAGTTGCTTTCTGGACGTCAAGCTAACTAAATATGTTAGATTGCGTTTGTGCACTCCCGCCTCCGGTGGGGAAGGGCCCTTCGAGAGTTGGTTGTTACACATCAAAGGAAATGGACGCGTGAGAAAGCTGTTCCTTAATGGGGGGGGGGATGCAGTAACCTCCACCTGATGGAAAATGTACCCGTCGACGTGGTTAAAAAAATAATAGTTAAGTTAAAAGTTCTCTTTGTTGATGCTTTTCGTCCCTGAACCAAAAGAGCATTTCGCGACACAGACCAAGAGAAAAAGAGGATTGAACTAAAACGACCAGCGATCACTGGCTAGACGAGATAAGACAAACTCCCCTGCACCACCTAATGAAAGGTATACAAGAAAACTATTTTTATAATACGCACTAGCGTATAACATGCACTGTGTATAATATGCACTTTAAGTTGGCTCCTTGTGCCACGCCAAGAATTTTTTCTCCCCGGAATCGATCCTTCAAATCTACAAATCAACCATTCGCCCTTGCATGGAGTATTGCTGTCATATATGGTCTGGAGCCCCTACTGTTTGCCTGGGGGTTCTTGATAAGATCCAGAGACGGATATGCAATGTAATTGGCCCCGACCTGGCATCTCGTCCGCAGTCGCTCTCTCACAGACGCGCCGTCGCCTCTCCCTGTCTTTTTTACAAATACTTTCATCGTAATTGCTCCGATGAGCTGCTTTCGCTGGTTCCCAGACTTCATGAGTTCAAGCGTCCTACGAGGCTGGCATCCCGCTTTCACCATTTCACTGTTGAAACTGTTAAATGTAGCCGCCTCTTCTATTCCCATAGATTCATATCTCGCACCTCTCGCCTGTGGAACTCCCTTCCCTATTCCTGTTTCCCTGATAGCTATAATCTCCAACTTTTCAAATGTAATGTCAATCGACATCTCCAGTTGCCTTGATCTATCCATTATCCTTCTCCTCATCCTCTCCTCTATCATTCCTACCTGCGCTCGCTCCAAATCCTCTATAACCCCTTGCGTCCTAGTGGCTTCCCGCCTTGCTAGGGGTGAAATGCTTAAAAAATGTCAGATTAAAACTAAAATGGAGTACTACCACAGAGATTTGCTCTATCCCCACTTTACCCTCTTGACAGTGTTCAAAACTGTTTAATCAGACAGATTTTCCACTCTGCAAGCTCTTTTCGACTAACACAAAGTCGGGAGTTTATCGTTATTTCTATGGCAAATGTTCAGCTAAACTCCACTTGGCCATTTCAGACCTGCACAGCTAAGACACACCAGACGTACCATTCCAAATGTAAAATAAAAGATTCATTCAGAAAGTTTTTCAATAACTTATACCAATGTGGAACTGAATTCTCCGAAAACTATTATTTTAATGATAAATCCTGGATGAACGTCTAGTTCTCTTAAAATATACGTCTTTAAAAAATCGTTAGCAGTGAACATTTCCAATGTCATAGATCATTTTTATATAATCTGACATAATGAGGCAAGTTAGGAAAATAAGGACTGTTATCATCAAGCTTTTGTAAAATCAGTACATTTTGTTTTGCTCTAGCATGTTCTTTGCAACATCTGGTACCAGAAGTTTTTTTTTAATGAAAAGGAACTCCCTTTCTAAGAAATAACTCCTCCCCTTCCCTTCCTCTCGTCCATCCACTTATGCCATCACATCGCAACCAAAAACGTACGTACATAATAGTGTTCTTATGTTAAATTTATTTCTATTATGTTTTTCTTTTCATATACACTTTTGTATGTTATTTGCTGTTTGAATAAACGTTTTTTTTATACTAAAATATATCGTGTAAGTATTCATCTTGTTCTTGGAAACGAATTAATCCCTTTTATGTTAATTATAATGGGAAAAAATTATTCGTTTCTGGAACAATTCAGTTTTAGAACAAACTTTCATAACAAATTATAGTCGAGAACCGAGGCTGCTCTGTATTCTGGTTTATCAAGAAAAAATGCCTGACGATTGAAACAGTTACACATTTCTTACAAGATCCAGATTCAATGTTCCAAAGACAATGACTTGGGATTCTGGTGTTCTAGGCAAAAATAATCTTCCTAACTGAAAGATCGCCGTAATACAGTTATGCTTGGTTTGTTCCTCCTTGTTTGGTTTATGTAATCCTAAGAAAAGATTACGGTCATATCATGTTGAAATACCTGTTCCTGTCTGATCACCGAAGTTAAACAACGTCAAGCCTGGTCAGATGGGTGACCCCTTTGGAATACCAGGTGCTGTAAGATTGGATGTACAGGTGGTGTAGTGGATAAAGGCACGGAATGAGAAATCGGAGAGCCGATTTCGAATTCCAGTCGAATTCGTTACATAGTTACACGTAAATACTCTTTGGCGATCATGAATCGGAAAGAGACAATCTCCCAAGTGTGTCACATTCGCCTATCAACATGCATTGGGACGGCACGTTAGGGTAATAGTTCGTCCTTCCCATGAATCTGGGGAAGGTCTCCGTTCAACAAAGGGGCTTTCAAAGAAGAGGTGAAGCGGAGTCTGGCAGGTTATAAATAAAATAAATCGGTCTTTTTCTTAGTAATTATTCGCCCCTGAAAAACATGGCTTCAAAAGAGTTGGAATTAGATGAAGTCGGTTCGAATTTATATGGCGCCTAACGACCATAAAATGAAGATCTAGTGGTTGTGATAAAAAAGTAAGAATAGTATAGAGAATAGCGATCCGTATAATAATAGAGGATACTATAGAAATGGCGATCCATTAGACGCCACGCTAATTCCCATATATGCGTTTCCTTTACGGTCAGGTGATCTACTTCATTCAATAATGGGATCGCCTGTGTTTGATCATAATAAAAAAATATTAGTACAATGTTAATACTGTCTTGTTACCGGAGCCAATAATACACCGACTGTATCCCCAGTAGTGGAATAAGACCACCAAACCAAACAAGACATCTGCCAAAAGAGTTGCACGTAGAGTTTGGCTTGAGCTACCAATATTTACGTTTGGACTCAAGTACAAACACGACCAATATTTACCATATATTGACCATATATATATATATATATATATATATATATATATATATATATATACGACTAGTATTCACTTAACATTACATTTACTTACGTGCTAATACCGTTGGGGAAGGTATGACTTCTTTTCTTCTCCCCCAAGCTATGAGTAAATAGCAGGACAGACCGGGTTCTATAAACTTGAATGGTAACTGTTCTACCGCATGGCAACCTACCGCAGGAAAAAATCTGCCTCGTCAGTCATGTATCGAAAGATACATGATCGCCTAAGCGGGTATCACACATGGCACATAAATGACTGACTCACTTACAGACTTAACCGTAAATACAATGTTGAGCCAAGAACTCAGCTAATGTTTACCGGTGTATATATACTACACGTATTGACTCACAGACTTAACTGAAAGCAATGGTGGCCTAAGTACTCAACTAATGTTTATCTATCGACATAAGTACAACAACAACCAGTGTCGAATTATAGCCTCCTCCCCTGTATAAACACAACCAATGTAAACTTATGAGCAAGTATAATTTCTCTTAAAATAACTTATTTCATCATTAGATAAACATCTGTTATATAGGAAAAAAGGGTCATTGACGACACTTGCGTTTGAACATAGATCGCCAGGAAGCAAACACAGGCGATCCCATTATTGAATTAAGTAGATCACGTGACCGTAAAGGAAACGCATATATGGGAATTAGCGTGGCGTCTAATGGATCGCCATTTCTATTCTATCCTCTATTACTATACGGATCGCTATTCTCTATACTATTCACTATACTATTCCCTACTGATCCCTACACGGATCACTATTCGGTGATTACTATTCGAGCGAGTATTATCAAGCAAGTACTATTAGTGCGAGTGTTATTCGAAGGTGTCTGACACCAGTATTGTTCAACGGCGTTAGTATAGTTGTATCTGCGATTATAAAGTTTCTACTACAACAAGCATTACGAAAGTGACAACGGATATTCGTCGACATCACAAAAGCATCAGACGTTAATATGCCGTAAAATCCACCCATTATTAATAACAGCGACATTTTTTTATCACAATTTTTCTCATTCGGATATCAGTTGGGATAGTTTGAAAATTATATTAGCTGAAGCCCTAAGAAATCATCCTCCCAGGCAGTACCTCTCTTCTGGGAGGTGGCCTGGGGCTTTCCCGTCGCCTAAGACGTCCCCAAAAGAGGAAGTGCGTAGGAGGCTTGAGTAATTTTCCCACTGTATTGTCGCTAAACCCATTTTAAACCTCGACCTTGTGCCACATTCGGTAGCAACGAGGACACCCTGCAATGTTTTTGATACTTCAACGGCTTTGGCTGGGTTAGTTTGAAATTAATCTTAGTTCAATTCCCAGGAGGGAGGGGCATTTCCCGCAGGCAGTACCTATCCTTCAACCATTTTAAACCTCGACCTTGTGTCGCATTCGGTACCGACAGGAGAGTACTGAAAAATCCCATTAACTCAAGTCACGAGGGATGCACCCCCCCGCCCACAAGCAGTACCTTTTGTCAACCACTTTAAACCGTGACCTTATGTCACACTCGGTAGCTAAGTAGGCGCACTGAAAAATCCCATTATTAATAAGAACTTCACTTTCTTATGTTAAAGCCGAACTGACGATAAATATGTTTTTGAGGGTTAAGCCCAAATAACAACGCCAGGAATATTTGCTACTAATCTTTCACAATAAGTTCATTTCGGGAAAAAAAAACTTTTGAAAAGCAACGTGAACCATTCTCAAGTTCTTTCCCAGAATTCCAAGCAAGAGCAAATGCAACAGATCTGTATATTTTTTATTTATTTATGCTTTTTTTTTTTTTTTCGAATCAAGAAAATCGCCTTTTCTTCAAATGTTCGAATCAGTGATTCTGCTTATTAGCACCGGAAGTTTATAAAAGAAAACACATTTGCACTGCTGGGTGCATCTCAAAAAGAGGTAAGGATGGAGACAGACACGCCTTTAGGTTAGGGTAACAGCAAATTTAAGAGAAAACTTTGCGAATGGCAAAACAAACAAAAGATATTTCAAATTGATTAAAACCTTTACTGCGCAGACGAACATAATCAACAAAATGGCTGTTATGTGCTGGAAAAACAAACAGTGTAAATTCGAAAGAAATTAAATCTTTTCGGTTTTTTTTCTTTTTGTTTTTTGTCGTACATTGTTTTGTTTTTTAGCTGTTTTGTTTTTCTTTTATTTTTTGCTGTTTTTATCATTTTTTATTAACTTTCTTAGTGAATTTCTTTTTTCTTTTGCAGGTGGGGGAATTGTGTAAGAATTCGTCTTTGCATACTTAAGGGCAATAATGCGTATGTGCATATACACACATCGCGTTTTCTTACAGGGAGGCCTAACTTCCTCCATATTCAAAGTTTAAAATTAAAACAGGCGGATTCTCATAGAATCGTTACACGTGTATCAGAATATATACGTCCATATTTAGGATATTCATTCGTACATACGTCTGTAGACTGATATCGAAAACGCATTTATTTTATAGATATATTTGGGTTTTTTTCAAAATCAGTTCCTTCTTTGTTAATTCACGGAATTCAGTGGTGAAAATAAGTCACATAATTCGGGCATTATACAGTGAAAATTTCAAATAGAAAATCATTACGTGTAATTCTGTGGGTTTGTTAATCCACGCTTGTATACAGTACGTGTGCACTGAATTTTTGAATAACTTGGTCATTGTACGCATTTCTATGTGAATAAATTCTGGAATAATTATCGGTTTCTATTTAAGTAGACTTAAAGAGTTTCTTGTCCTCCATATTTACAGGATGAAAAGAAATACATTGAAAAAACTTTTAATCTCTTCAAAATATCCTAATTATTTTTTTATTTAATGCTCGTCATAAAGCTCATCGAATTCATAAAATTAGAAAAGTAAATAATGTTCTCTTGCATGATATTACCTGCCAACCCAATAATGACGACAGTTGAAAAAAATTATCTGAATTTAATATAGAATGTCTTTCTTTCTTTCTTTTTATGTGCCATGCCCTCTCAGGACGTTGGCGATCATGGCTCTCGCCTCCCTCTATCGATTGCAGATCTCAACAATTTCCTTCACTCTGCTTCCTCCTCCAGACCACGTTCTGTCATCCACCTGCTCAAGCTCGTCAGATATGTCACGCGCTGCTTCTCTTTGTCTCTCTTTCCTTTTATTCGACCCGTAAGTATCAGATTCTCCAGGCCCTCCTTCCTCATTATGTCCCAGAATCTTCAGCTGCTTCTTTCTGATGTTAAGTATAAGCCTTCTCTTTGTTCGTAACCTATCTAAGGCCTCATCGTTGCTCACATGCTCGATCCGTGATATCCTTAGCATCCTTCTGTAGAACCAGGTCTCCGTCGCCTCGAGTCTCGTCCTCATCCTTGAGGAAATCGTCCAACATTCGCTACCGTAAAGAAGGAGAGATGTCACGTAACAGTTCAGTATTCTTTTCTTTGAATCCTGCAGTCTTTCAATACTCTGCTCAGCTTTTGGAATGCGTCCTTGGCCATACGTCTACGGATCTCGATGTCGCACTTACCGTCTTCTGTCAAGACGCTTCCCAGATATTTAAACTTCTGCGTCTGCTTGATTCTAGTGTCCCCAACTCGCAAATAACATCAAAAGATGTAATAATACGAGATAAAATAATATGTCTCTGCCCGTAACGAGTATAAACGTGTCCTCAATGAAGCAAAGTCACTATTTGCTGCTCGAATGAAAGAACGTATCGCATCTCGCAAATTGGCTCCAATGATTATTGGCATCTCTGCCATTCACTAAGAAAGATGGCATTTCTTAACAATAGAAAACCCTCTATATCTCCTTTGTTCAACCAGTTTGAGGTTCTAACCTCTTCTGCCGACAAGGCTGAATGCTTTACTCGGAAATTCTCATTCAATTCAACCATCGACTCTTCTGGTGTACCCAAACCCGATTCCCCCCTTCGAACTGAGGCTCATTTGAGCGACTTGCACATAACCCCATCATTGGTTCTGGGCATCATCTATAAATTAGACCCCCACAAAGCTAGTGGTGGAGATGGGATACCAGCCATTGTCCTGAAGAAATGTGCGCCTGAACTGGCCCCTGCCCTCTCCAAATTATATAACTACTGCCTCAATGAATCTTGTTTTCCACCCTGTTGGAAGTCCTTGTCCATTGTTCCTGTCTGGAGACCCTTCTGACTCTACTAATTACCATCCTATCAGTCTCCTA